ATCCACATTAGTCTTAATATTATAAATTCTGGCTACTCCCCGCGTCTCTGGTCGTGGGATTGACTCATATTGTCCTCTGAATCTACCTCTTCCTCTGTCTCTATTTGATGTTGCTACTGATCTCTCGGTCTGCAATGATTTATCCTCGGATCTCTTAGGACAATTTCGAGTATAGTGTCCATTTTCACCACACTGGAAACAAGTGCCACTGAGCAATCTACATACTCCACGGTGAAATTTGCCTAACATTTGACATGAATTAGTTCGTTCTCCAAATGCTCTTCCCAAGCTAGCAGCAAAAGACTGTGATTGTTTATTCTTCTGTGAAGCTGCAGAGGAAGGTGTCAATATTGTAATTGAAAAATAGATTCCAGAATGTAAAAATGGCATCGATACTGAAGGGGTTATCAACACCATAGAAGAGAAGTATCGATACTGTAGGAGGGGTATAATACTATTCAGTCTGAAATTTTAAATTAGGATGAATTTTAAAAGAATTCGAAAATAATAATACTTTTGAGTATTATTATTTTGTATAAATGTTAGAAAGTATACTAACATTTTATTGTTTATTGTCTGTGTGATTATGGATGCTTGGGTAGATCGTAATCATATTCCGGAGATAATCAAACAGAAGGGTAAGGATAAAGTAGCAGAATAGTTGGCTACATTAAGGCATAATATTGAGGCATACCAGGTGAGTGCATTTATTATGTACTTATATGATATGAGGATGACTTGCGATGAGTCAACCTCGAACGTTTTTATAAAATCATGTTTTATAGTATTTTGAAGTATATTCATAAAGTTTATGAAAACGATTTTATGAATAATTTTAGAGTATGAATTGCTCTAAAATAGTTGGATGAACTTTTATATTGTTTTAACAGCTATAGATGTTTTAGAATAAATTTTTAATCTGTAAATTTGATTTAAAGGTCTATTGTATGTGTATTGAGAGTCATATGTGCATTTCGACATACTTTTTTGTATGATGGTTATTGATCGATTTTGTTTAATACATATGTTGCATTTTTGTATGATGGTTATTGATCGATTTTTTTAATGCATATGTTGCATTTTCGTATGATGGTTATCGATCGATTTTGTTTAATGCATATGTTGCATTTTCGTATCAGTACTATGTGTACTTTCGACACTATGTGTGCACCAATGGTATTCATAATGAGTTTGTGAATTACCATTTCGCTACCTTAGTATAGTGTTGATGTCATTACAAAACCTATTCTTTCGTTTAGAACTTAGGTGCAACTCATGTATCATGCATTCTCATTCAACATACATTGGGCAAATAAAATGATAATTTGGAAACTTACTTATTGATAGGTATGTTGGGCATACTAAATATTGTTTCGTCGGTTATTTGAAAGAAATTTAGTTTACCAAGCCAGTTTTATGTATTATTATGATTGATACGATTTAATTCATATTTTGGTATTTTATGATATACTTATGTTTTGGTTACCCTTCATTTATATTATTATGCCTCACTAATTGAATACTTAACATGTGTTGGTTTCACGCCTAGGTAATAGTATGAGCGAAGTAAGGAATGCAACTGACATTGTAAATCAAAGGTTGCCTCATCAGTAACTATATGACATGACATTTATGTCTACTTTTGATATTATTAGATGCCATTTAATAGATTTCTGATGATGCTCTGGAATGTATAGGACTTATGATGTTGTAATATTTAATATGTTAGAACTTTAAGGTTATTTTGCATACAAATAGTTAATGAACGTTGTTGTTGTTATTATTATTATTATTATTATATTAAAATATTTTATTTTTAGAAACAAAATTTTACTGGTTTTTAAATACAAAAATGTTTTAAAAGTCATGTGACATCTGTGACTTGTGTACGAAAACATATACGAGAAATGAGTGTTATAACAGTGACAACATATAAAGCTTATGATTAAAAAAAAATTAATCGTCGACGAAGACAATAATATCAAGATTACAAACAATGAATTATAATGATTCTGATACCATGTGAGAATAATAACACCAATGGTCAATAGTGAATGAAAGACAATGAATGATGAGGGTAAAAAATAACAATTGCTAGGTAGGGTTGCAAATGAAATAATAAGAGAAAATGAAAAAATCCTTTGCAATTTTATTAATTGAATTAATAAAAAAAATTACTGTAAAACTATTATAATATTTTGGTATAGATAACCCAATAATTAACTAATATCTAATAGTCTAACAAAATTTCTAGTAGTTTAACAATTTATAAATTTAATACTTCTTACAGATAATACATCATTCTAGTTAAAAGATTTTATTTATGAAGACACTTAATTTCGTTTATGTTTTAAATAATATTACATATTATAACATTGTTAAGTTTATCTACATTTGTAGGCCCAATGTTCGGCCCAGTTTACGCAATAACCCTAGTTCATGGTTCCCAACTGAGCGCCGCATACCCAAGGACTCCCCATGCTCCACGCCTCGCCAGCCGCTCAACACGCCCGGTTCTCTCGGTCACAAGCAACGGTCGTGGGTTCCAAGCAACTAACAAGCATTCAAACAATGAGTTTCAGTTTGTTTAGGACTCTATGACTAAAAATAGGATGTAAATAAACTATAAATGGATGTAATCAGAACCCATCAAGGGGGGATTTTTTTTGGATAGGAAATAAAAGCGGAAGCTTCTGAGCAAAACCACGAGTATCATCAAGGCAAAACCGAAACGTTTTTGAGTTTTTGAGAAGAATCAAAAGGTAAAGTCCATACCTTTCTTCGTTTTGGTTGCTTGCATGTCATTGTGTTGAGTTTTTGAACCCCAAAAAGCATTTTTCGACCAATGAACGAAATGAGGCCATTCTTTCCGAAAACTATTTTCTAGATCTGCGCTTTTCCGAGAGTTTTTTTTTTTTGAAAAATCGCTTTGCTTTTCGGGTTGTTGAAAGAAAGGGCTTTTTAAAAATATAGGTTTCGATGTGGACTACCGCCGATGAGCGGCGGCGAGGCGGTGGTCACCGGCTGGAATCTGGAAACCAGGCGGTGGTGTGTTCATCTTGGATGAACATATCAGAGGAAACAAAGGCAAAAGGGGGAGGGCTCGTTTTGGTGAGAAGAGAAGAATGAAAGTTTTCATTTGTTTTAATTTTTTTAACATATATACTAGACCCACGGATGCTTTCAGACCCGACCCATACATAAAAATGACTCGCGTGTTCTTTAAAACGGTTAAACCGTGCATTTGATGCCTCTGTTTTTATAAAGTTCTAATTTGCCCCTTAGGTTCCAAGTGTAATTCGAATTCCTATTAAATTTGGCCTTAAATTTCATTCTATTTTCAATTTAGACACCATATATATATATATAATTATTACGTTTAAATCCTTATATTATTATTGTATATTATTTTGTATTATTTATGCTGATATGCGTGTATTCTTTATATTTATTGGTACAACATTATTAATATACATAAATTACTAATTATGCTTATGATCATTTCTTATTTCTAGTATAATATCCTATAATCGTATATGTATATATTTCAATTCAACTTGATACTTATACTATTATTTTTATTTATTTCATATTACTTAATTTGTTGTACATATACGCATCTTTTATATATTTTACCTATATACCCATTATTAATAAATATATTATTTTTTTAAATTATTCCTATGTTATTTTCTAATATATATATATATATATATCGTATTTTATTTGTTTTGTACACATATTTTTATTTTATTATTATTGTTATATATATTTGTTATTATTTTCTTTTATTTGATTATTTTCCTATATGATATTACCTATATATATATATATACATATATATATATATAGGTAATATATATATATATACTTTTATTTTATTTTAATTAAATATTATTTTATATATACCTAATTTGGACTATATGTCCTAGAAGGGGCCGCTTTTGTCTTTAATCAAATTTTCCCCCAACTTTCGGTGGAGTAATTGTGGGGTAGGTTTTATTTTTAAATATTTATTATTTATTATATATATATGTTTTATTTGTTTGGTTTTGATGTATATATATATTTATTATTACTATATATATTTTTTCTTTTCAAATTGTACTATATGTACATATTATTTTTTCCCTTATCTTATTTATTTAGTTATCTATTTATTTATTTTTCTTTATTTTTCTTTATCTTTGATTTATTTACTCATATTTGTTTATTTATTTATCCATTTATTTATGTATATTGTCTTTGCTTTTTTATCTCGTTTTATTCTTTTTCCCTTTTATTTTATTTTCTTTATGTTATTTGTTTTCTTCAATCTAACACGTTCACTTTTAAAGGGTACAACTTTCAAATCAATCTACGGTAAGTAATTAGGATCAGAGTTTTACCTTGTAATTTAAACTTATATTTTTCTTAATTAAAGACAACTGAAAATTACATAGTACCAAAAGGGTGGTTCAAGGGTGCTAATCCTTCCTTGACCGTAACCGACTCCCGGATCCGACACATCTTTGGTACGACGCAGATCAGGTAAGAAATAAGGTATTCGATCAACCCATTTTTCATAAAATAAATGATCGGTGGCGACTCCAATCCACATTTTTCAAGTCGAAGCCTAATTCCGGGGCCCAACCGAAAGACAGTTCCGACAATTTATAACTTAATTCTCAAAGTTATATTTATTTTAACACTTTAATATCTTATTTTCCCAATTTTAGTACCTAAATCATTATTTTGATCTCATTTTATCTAGAAAGTTCAATGTCTAATAAGAATTTACCACATGTTATGTTTTTAGTGACATTTTTTTTTTGTAAAGTAAGATGATAAAAGATAATTTATCCTTTAAAGTGGGATAAAATAAGTTTGGATATCAAATCGAAGCAAAGGTATAATTTAGAGACCAAGATCACAAATTTTACCTTTCTTGCAATGTACGAGGAAAGCGACGTCGTTTATATCTTGTGGGGATTCTGATAGCTTCCTTTTCCTTTGTATTCCACTAGAATCCGAAGACAAATCTAAAACCCTACTGCTCCTATCTTTGGGAAATCACCAAATTGGCTGCCTCAAATTCCCAATCTTGCCCCTAAAAGATGCTAAATTTCCTTTGATTACCATGTCGTCCGAGGAAATCAGCCTCCAGAACGGCCCTGACGTCTTCCAAGCGAACCCCATACGGACCTTCAATTGCGGACCTCCGATCACTAATCGACCCGGCTCCAAGATCCGAGAACTCACCGGCTTCATCGACGACAAGATATTCTCATTCCTTCCCTCTCAACCGCCCGAATTTCGCTCCTCCAACATCTTCTCCGCCGCCGTCAGCTGAAAATTAAAGACAACTGAAAATTACATAGTACCGAAAGGGTGGTTCAAGGGTGCTAATCCTTCCTTGACCGTAACCGACTCCCAGATCCGACACATCTTTGGTACGACGCAGATCAGGTAAGAAATAAGGTATCCGATCAACCCATTTTTCATAAAATAAATGATCGGTGGCGACTCCAATCCACATTTTTCAAGTCGAAGCCTAATTCCGGGGCCCAACCGAAAGACAGTTCCGACAGCCTGGCGACTCCGCTGGGGATTCAGGTAAGTGAGTCAGGCTAAGGTAATTTCCAGTTGTCTTTTTAATGAAAAGGTAAGTTTAAATTTTAAGGTAACATTTCGATCCTTATTACTTACTTTTGATTATATTTTCAAGTAAATAGTTGTACTAACCGTTTTTTAATGATTTCAGCCCTTAAAGATTTTTCATCCAAAGGCTCTATACCCGAGCTCTGAACCCGTTTTAAGTGGGGGTGAAAGCGACGCCTTCGTGTGAATTTATTCACCGTATGGGCCTAGCAAGTAGCCTTCGGGATTCATATACCTTATGCCTTCGTGTGAATTTATTCTCCGTATGGGCATAAGGGAATGTGTCCTCTCGAGTTTAACTTAGTCCACACAAGCCTGTGATGGGTTTCGGACTAAGGGTCTGGACGGTCCAAGGGGGCGCCAGCAAGGAGAACTCGAGTACCGTTTTTAGAACCTAAACCGGGAGACTTTGAATAAATAGAGCCTACCCCAAAACCACATTGCAAAACCTAGGACATTTCTTTCCTAACCCTTTTTTTTGTGTCCTTATGTTTTTTTCCTTTACCATTTATTTTTTTTTATTTTTTTCTATTTTACTAACCTTTTTGCCTTTGTGTTTGTTTTTAGCATTTGCATCGTAACAAGAGGCCATTGATCCCTAAAAAGGTGTTTATTAAAACTCAAATAATCTGAATTCATGGACAAAGGTGTTGTAATACAAGAGATTGAAAACGCTGAGGCACGACTATGGTCCGAGAAGACTCAAAGTGGAAAGGGAGACAGTCTTCAAGGAAGCTATGTGTCAGAGTTGGTTCACTACACCCCTATCAGCCTAAAACAGAACAATGTACAAGAGCTTCGAGATATCTGGGATAGTTGGAAGAATGATCGGAGATAGAAGTTCAGCCAACGGTACAGTGACATTGCACTCTTGCTTCATGTTAAGACTGATGAGCCCTTAATCAGAGCTATGGTTCAATTCTGGAACCCGGTATATAGTTGCTTCACTTTTAACCAAGAGGACATGGTGCCCACCATCGAAGAATACACTACACTGCTGCATTGTGAAAGTATCAAGCTTGAGCGAGCCTACATTAAACACATCAAAAGTCAGCCCTTCAAGAATGCACTGGCCAAAGTTGCGGGAGTAGATGAGAAATGGGTAATCGATCGGACTCAGCGTAGAGGCAATGGAGAAGGAATTGAATGGATTCACATAAAACAACTAATGAAAAACCACCCTGATGAGTGGAAGACTATAGACCTTTTTGCACTGGGTCTGTACGGTTTGATCATATTTCCGAAGGCTTTGGGGTGCATTGACACTGTCGTGGTGGAACTATTTGAGCAACTTTCTAAACGAGTTAACCCAGCATCAGTCATCTTGGCCGAGACCTTTCGATCTCTCAACCATTGCCGAAGAACTGGCGGAGGAAGATTCACCGGGTGCATTCAGCTCCTTCAGGTCTGGATTCACAACCACTTCTGGAAGACTGACGGGGTTGCCTACCGCCGTTTCAGCACCACCTATTCACCTCTAGGTGAATTTATCACCTTAAAATGGCATGAAGGTGCCTCGAAAGAAAAATGGATGAAGGTCTTTACGCATCTTCAAGACCGAGATATTGTCTGGAGAGCCCCTTGGTTATTCCTCAGTGATGTTCTTTTTCGATGTGGTGACTCCGACACTGTGACCTTACTTGGACTTTGGGGAGCAGTCGGGTATGCTCCGCTATTAGCACTTAGACAATATGGAGCACGTCAGTTTGTCCCAGCAACGTGCGGGTTGGCTAGGTCAGAGTTTGAGTATCACGGCGACAGCTATAAGAAGATGATCAAAGAAGCAGCCGATTCGTGGAGGAAAGTATTCCGGATGGATGTTGTAGCTGCCAGAAGCATGCTCACTCTGGATTATGTGGAGTGGCGAAGATTGAGAAAGAATGACAACATCCCTGTGCCAAACTGTGATGACACCCGAACCATGGAAGAACATCTCAGGCATGTCCCTTCTGAATTCGAGATAGCCAAGACCGAGTTTGAAGCCGTGAATAGTGAGCTGAAGCAAAGGATAAAGGAACTTGAAGCCGAGCGCTATCAGTGGAAGCTAGATGCTGACTCTCAGAGAGACCGGGCAAATAAACTGGAAAGAGAACAGAAAAGAGTCTGTTTTGAGTTCGAAGACTTGAGAAAGGGGTATCAAGATAAGGTCAAGGATAACGCCAAATTGAAGGTAACCTCTGAATACTGGAAAGACGAAGCTCATAGCCTGAAAAGGAAGTTTGAGGGGCCTGATGAGAAAGCTTGGAAGGAACAGATGAAGACTGCCCAAAGACGCTTGGCAGATAGTCAATATCAGAACCAGCGCTTGAGAGTTCGGGTAGCTGACTTAGAAAAACAACATGAGAAATATGGCAAGACAATAGCTGAGTTAGAAGCTATTGTAGATGGGTTCAAGAGGCAAGCAAACGAGCGTCAGATGGTGCCCTTCGACGGAGGATTACAATGGCGTTTTAGTTGGGAACAAGCACAGCGAAGGGTGAGGGCCCGAGACGCAACCATCCGAGATTTCCTGGATCAAGTGCAAAAAGCAGCCCGTCATCTTCACGGCCTAGCAAGGGAAGCTGGTGTGGTTCGACAAGGCATTCAACCAGTGACAGATGAAGGCAGAAGACTTGTCAACCTACTGGAAGCTGTTCGGGGTCTAGAGGATTTAGTCCGAATGTACCTTTAATCTGTTTTTTTTTGTCTCTTAAAAGATAAGACATTTTTGTCTGAACAAGGGTTATTTATAATAATGAACACTTTTCTGGATCAATGCCTCCAATTGCATACATCATGCATTGCATTTCTTGCATTTTATATTTCATGTCTGTTTATTTTATATTTTTCATGTTTTTACATTCGTATTAACTAACAGAACATGTCTCAGACACCGAGCTTACCACCACAAGCATCAGATACACATCACCCGCATAATACTCGAGCAAAAAAGAGACAAATGGAAGCCAGAATGGAGAATATCAAAGAGCACATGGCAAGACTTCAAAAGGAACTAGAAGATAAAATGGCTCAGAACAGTGAAACTACTCTTGAGTCCATCAAGAAAAATCAGGAGTCCTTGGTCGACCAAATCGTAGCCAAGTTGTCGGGTCTACAGCAAGCTAGTGCATCAGGGGGCATCTCTTCTGAGGGGGTGGCCATACCACCAACCCCGCAAGTGGTTATCTCACCCGGAATATTACCCGGGGACGCATCTGCTACTAAAGGGAAAGCAGCACTACCTGGGGACTCATTCGTTACCAAAGCGAAAGTTGCACCTGCTGTGAAGATACAAACTTCTACAATCATCCCTGATGATCATCCGGATGATAATCATGTCCCAGACTTTGATGAGGAAGATAAAGCCAAAAAGATGGAAGAAAAGATAAAAATATTAGAAGATCAAATAAAGATGGTCCAGGGAGACCATGATTATTATGGAGTGGACGCAATGGAGCTGAGCCTAGTTCCGAACTTGGTGCTTCCACCAAAGTTTAAAGTTCATGAGTTTGAGAAGTTCGACGGGAACAGTTGCCCTTCAGCCCATATCACTATGTTCTGTCGAAAGATGACAGGATATGGCGGGAATGACCAACTCCTGATCCATTGTTTTCAGGAGAGCATGTCCGGTTCAGCTATTCGGTGGTACAACCAGCTTAGCCGAACACATATCAAGACGTGGAAAGACTTAGCCAAGTCTTTCTTGGAGCAGTATAAGCATATCAATGATATGAGACTAGACCGTGTCATGTTACAAAGCCTAGAGAAGAAACACAATGAGAGTTTCCGACAGTACGCACAGAGATGGAGGGATTTATCTGTGCAAGTTCATCCACCCTTGGATGAAAAGGAAACAAGAAAGCTATTTGTACAGACCTTGAAGGCACCTTACTTCGGGCACTTGGTAGCAATCACGTCGGGAAGTTTCTCAGATTTAGTCATGGCCGGTGAAATGATCGAGTTGGCCATTAAACAAGGAAAGATTGAGGGAGGAGACACCAGTAAAAAACCCCCCATGAAGAACAAAGAGCGAGAGATCAACAATGTAAACACCTACAGTGTCAACAAGGGGGTTACGATCTCAAGCTCAAATTCCACAGCAGCTGTACCATCCGGTACTTCTAGACAGAACCAGAGAGAACCAAGAAGAGAAAGGGAAAGGGAGCAGTTTGACCCCATTCCCATGACGTATAAAGAATTATACCAACAGCTCTTCGACACTCATGCAGTGTCGCCTTATCCTATGAATCCAATAAATCCCCCTTACCCGAAATGGTATGACGAGAGCGCCCACTGCGAATACCATGGCGGTGTGCAGGGGCATTCGATTGAAAGTTGTCTTGCATTCAAGAGACTTGTGCAACGAATGCATAACAAGAATTGGATCACTTTCAACTCCGGAGCACCAAACGTCGCCCAGAATCCCTTGCCCAATCATCAGGAGACAGGAATCAATGTCGTTACTACCGAAGGGGGCAGAAAAGTTAAATTGAGTGTTTCAGAGATCAAATCTCCTTTGGCTTGGGTATGGAGCCAAATGGTGAAGGCAGGGCTTCTTGCACCATATCCAGATACGACAGAAAATGAAGATGGTAACCATTGTTGTTACCACAACGAAGAAGGACATAAAGTACAAGATTGCCCAGAGTTCAGATTGTTAGTCCAACTCATGATGAACCGGAAAGAGCT